TTGTATGTATTCCTGCTGCGCAATACTACTGGAAAGAGGATTCCTGGGTCTTTGTTAGGTGGTGATGGGCTAATAGGTGAGCTGGGGGCCATGGGAAACCACAACTCCCACATTTTTCTAGTCACCAGGAGTTAGTCCATTCACATCTAGGGCATGTCTAATAAGGTTTCTGTGTTATGGGATGTGACAAAGGGCCCTTCGCCACTTAGTCCTGGAGAGGCCTACTCTTTGATGTATTTGGCTTTAAAGCCTCTATTCTACCTTCAGACAGACTATTTATCTAGGTTGCTTTATTTCTCTTATGTTTGTCACCTTGTACCCATTATAGGTGCAGGGTGTGTGTAATGTAATTGTTTATAGTGTGTGTGTGTACTGTGTAATGTATTGCCTGCTCTCCTGTACTGCTGAGGTTTGCTACCAACTAGGTGGGTTTGGCTATGGAGCTTGTCTAGTGCCCTCTGTTGGTAGCAACAGCAATATGCACTACCTGAATAGCAAGACTGGTTCATTTGCATATTCAGGTAGATTTGCATATTGCTAATTCTGCAGGCACGTGAGATATTTTCTGTTAAATATTGTCTCCCCCACCCCTTTAAAAATGTGCCATTGTGTTGTGATAAGTCACTGTGTTTTGCCTGCTTTGGTTTGACTGTGTGATTTTATTGAGTTTTCACAGCAGTGTTAATGTGGTGACCCTATGGGCTGGTCCCAAGGGAAATAAAGGTTTAGACAGTTCTTCTTGATCTCTCTAAATGTATCCTTGTCTCGTTATTGGAGGGAGCTTTTATAATCACACTGGGGATTGCTATACTGTGCATGCTCCCCTGAGCTTGAATCACTTAGTTCTTTTAAGAGCTTGTTCCTGACACGCTCTCCTTGGAGGACAGATCTTCCCCATACAGTCTTGGATGCTGGAGGTTCATACAGGGTGGAAGGAAGAGGTCTTTCCCACACGGTCCTGGAGGACAGAAGCTGATCCAGGTTGGAAGGAAGACGGCGAGACTCCAGTCAAGCTACAGCGGTTGTGGAGTCTGCGGTGGTTGTGGTGTCTGGTGCGGTGCTTGTGGTTCTCGGCGCAAGCTAGGAAGCGTCCATCAATGGAGGGTACTCGGTCGGAGTACGGGGAGCTCCGTTATATGGGACATAAGGTGAACATGGGAACCTGTGCACTTTTAGGAGTCATCCCATGGACGACACCTTCCTTACCTGGATAAGGAGGAGGTTTCTCAGATTTTGGAGTATAGACAAAGGTGATTGCGCACAAATGGTTATTGTAAATCACAGCCAAACGAGTATATTTGAAAGAATCTGTTAAAAAAAAAAAACATAAAAGCAACATAGCATAGACTGTAAAACGTGTGTGATAGAATTTATCTTGATTCCAAGGCTCGAACTTATAGGTGTCATATAATGATATTGTGACAAGACCAATCTCACCACTGTGCATTGGAGGAGCCTGGTTGCCCGCTTGCAGCGTTTAGACTATGGCCCCATGTTGAAACGCTTGATTTTCCCCTGCAGAGACACGAAAGCCGGCTCATTCAGTGCTTGCCGTGTTTGAGCGGGGATACCCCAGATAGCTATGCCATGGAGCCCATTCGTATAATGAAAGACTATGGGAAAGACTTTGGCTCCATGGCAATTAAACTATAACTGTATTAAACTGTATAATGTGCGCTCAGATCTGAGCTATCTGGGGATATGTTGAATGTACCTGTTTTATGCAATGGCTGCACAGTTATGTTTTTATGTATTTTATTGTCTTCTGCTGCCATGTGTTCAATGGAGTTTTGCCTCTGTCCTTGGAGATAATTGGATTACTTCCCAATTATCTCCAGGATAGAAGACTCTGTGGAACTGGTTTTGGGCAGAAAAGCCATGCTTCATTTGGTCACAAAGGACTATGATCTATCTTTTGAACCACTGGACCAATTTGTATGATTTTGACGCATGTTTGTATTTGTAGTATTTATTTGTATGTGATGCAAACTTTTAAAATTATGAATGATGTGGAAAAACTGTATTTCTCTGCCTATGATAATTACATTACCCATTGTGTAAGGTAATTGTATCACAGGCAGAGGGGAAGATTTTGTGTGGGAGTGTCTGAGTGTATTGTACGTGTTTATTGGTTGTTTTCCAAAACTCTGTGGGTGTACTAAGGAGACCTACTCCTTTAAGAGTAGTATAATATAATAAAATAATCAATTGAAAGAATACAATATGTTACCTATAACCATGAATAATTACCATGATAGCATCCCTGTCTTTGATGTTCTATGTAGATTATTAAGGTAGAAACCAATATTATTTTATTATGTCAGTACATTTACATCGATATCGAATTTTGGTACAGAAACTCTTTGCTACATACGGAGGCCATCAGCATGATTTCCTTTATAAGGAGTCTTTTATTCATCCTTTAATATGTCCATCAGTTGGAGACATGGGCTATACAAACGCATTGTCATACAGGGTATATATCACATGTACCCGTTGTAAATAAAGAATAATTCCGCCCATAGAAACGCGGTACTTAGGATAGACGAAAATCGTATTCACTAAAACGGGTGCTATAGTTACCGGCTTCCAACATGAAGTAAGGTCCGCCCCCAATAAACGCCCAGGGACAGGCCAAAAAGGAAGAATCAGATGGACCCGCAGTTACACAGGTTACCTATGATTTTGGCGCGAGCGAGGCGTGCATGTCTGCGTTTCGGATTGGCTCAGAAGGTTATACCGTTCGGTATAAATTATTATCTGATCAGTACCACACTCACCTTTGACAAAGGCGCTGCAGTAGCCAGGGACGTATTAGCCGCGAGGCAAACAAGGCATTTGCCTTGGGCGGCATTTTTCAGGGGGCGGCAAAAAACGCCGCCCCCCAAATGCCCAGGGCAGATGCCTTGTTAGCCTTGCGGCTAACTGACATCCCGGGCGGCCGGCGAGGGAGCTCACTTCCCATGAGCTGACTGCTCAGCTCCCTCGCGCACCGCAAAGTGAGGCTGGGAGCCGGAAGATGGCGTCATCTTCCGGTTCCCAGCCTCACTCTGCAGCCGACGCGCGAGGGAGCTGAGCAGTCAGCTCATGGGAAGTGCTCCCTCGCCGGCCGCCCGCCCGCCTGCCAGCGCCGCCCGCCCTGC